CCAATAGTTAGGCATTCATTGTAAAACAAAAAATAAATAAAAAGTAACTTGTATGTATAGTATGTCAGCTGCAAATGACCTGCACTAGAATTCAAAATGTAAGAAAATGTTTGATAGCAATTTGCAAGAACCCAAGCCGCACTATGCGTAACATCATGTGCATTGGCCCAACTCATCACATATGGATTTTAGACCTTGATGAAACTTGTCAAGAAGTCATTATTCATCTTATGAGTGTTGTCACGTACACACTTAGCTTCAGATTTCCCACTGAAACTTCATTGGTTAAACCAAAGCACCCTTCATATATTTGATTATAACACTTAACTTAAATAGTTTAATAATATTTCCTCCATTTTCAATATGGGACCATTCTCTCCTAATTTTGACGTGTACGTGCTGATAAGACAACCAAATTAGGATATAGGAAGAAGATGTCAATAAAGGTTGATCAAGGATTGTGGCATGTAAAACTCTTAAGGTGCTTACACAAGTATAAGAGAACATAAGTGGGAGGCTCGGAGCAAAGAACAAGAGGACAATGAGCTGACAAAAAGAAATCCCTGCTATAACTGTTAAGTTAAATCAATATGCTTATTGAAGCATTCATGGGAACATGCTGCCATGATAACTTCTAACAAAAACGAAGTCATAATGCAATATGCAGCTGGCTTTTCTCAATAAATTCATTTGATTCTAACTTATATGACGACAAATAAGAATTTTAAGTTGCATCCTAAAGCATAGGATAATGCAAGTCTATTTCAATTAATGCAAGTATATATATATAAGTATAGGAAAATCAATGTTTACCGGCGGCATTTTTTGGTGGAAAATGATCAATTTCCGGCGGTTTTGTAAATTTCCTGCGGTAAATTTTCCACCGGTAAAACACTCATAGAAAAGATATTAGCGGCGGTATTTTCCGGCGGCAAATATTTCCGATCATTTTTAGACAAAAAAAGCCGCCTGAAAATATCAAAATTAATTTTAAAAAAAACCTAACCGCTGCCAAACCACCCATGCCCGCTGGCAAACCACCCCTGCCCTGCGACTGCCCGCCAAGCAGTGTGCCAGCAATGACCGCGCGCCCAAGCTCCCGCCCTGCCCGCTGCCCGCGAGGAGGCCTTCTGGGTTGCCTGCCTGAGCTCCTGCCCTTGCCCGCCCTCCCTCGCCGCCCGCCAGGAGGCCTGCCCGCGCTTCCCTGCTTGATTGCCTGCCCGCTTGCTGCCCGGGCGCGTGTCAAGCGTGGGATTCGAACCAAGTCCATTTTGCTAATAGAAGTCCGCCCAACCATTATGATGTGAGGGAAAATGTGTTATAAAGCTTATTATTTTTTATTTAAACTATATTATATGAAAATTATAATTTAAAATAAAAAATAAAATATTAAAGTTAATAATTACTTAAATATGTTATTAAATTAATAAATAATTAGACAAAGTTATTAAATTAATAATTAATTAAAATTAACTAAGAATTATTATTTAATTAAAGTTGCCAAAAAAATTAATCAAAATTATAAATTATATTAGGAAAAGCCGTCGGAAAATCCCCGGTAATTTTTCTAAAATTTTGGCCGTCAGAAAATTGTCCGCCGGTAAGCCGCCAGAAAAATCCGCCGGCAATTGACAATTTCCCTATAGTGTGAATTGTACAAAGTAGTTTATATATATATATAATCATATATTTAAGAAAAATGCAACTGCCTTAATTTGACAACTATTATGAGCAATGTGCAAAAAGTTTTAGCTTAAAGAGTAGAAATAATGTAGTTAATTAATTTTTTTTTTACTAAAACAGGGTCAACTAGGTTCAAGTTCAGGGTGGCAACATTGCATAAAACACCGAGTTGTGAAACTTTTTGCCTACAGGCAAGTAGACAGTAGCGTATTCTAGATTTTTTCCAGTTTTTCTTTGCTGCGATGTTAAATATTTTCGTCATGGCTAATTCCATTTTTTAAATTCAATAATAACTTTACAAGTATCAGTCAGTGATTTTATGAAATGAACTAGCATCCACATTTGATTTGCAACAAGAATAATAAGCATGCGAACAAAATACACTTTGGAATTAATCCCTTAGCTCCAAATTTCATGTTTGAGCCTATTCAATTTTGTGACAAATTTTACATTCATGTACATAAAAAGAGAAACACTAGCTACAACCATCAATAATCATACGTAGACCAGAAAGTAATTGATCAAAGACAGAATCATCAAGTCAAATAACATAAAGCCTCAGAACCTGATCGATCTTGGCACAACAAAGTGGAAAGTCCCCTTTCTTCTCTTTCATCTTTTTTAGGCAAGACATGCATCCATCCATATGAACACATGGAATGCAAGCAACATCCACTTCCTGCTCAAAGATCCACTTTTCTAGTCACCATTTTCATGTTCTTAGATGAAGAAGCGCTGCGGCACCTTCTTTAATTTATTTTTTGCTTTTGAAAATAGTAAATGTATAAGAATATCAATCAAATATATTTTTCTTCAAGTTAAAACATGAATAAAATAAAAATGAAAGACAACAGAAATCCCAATCAGCCCCTAAGCTTCTAACTCTTTGATATACCTGTGGATCAAGATATATAGCTAGCTCAAACTTCCTTGGATTTGTGGGATTACAAGAATCACAGGGTACAGCAACAACCCAACTGTTAAATAGAAGACAATTTAAAAAGAAATCATGCATATTAATACAAAACTTCTGAATTTCTAAAAACTATTAGCATAATAGAACATATAAAGAGAAAACACAATACAAACATTTTCTTTGACACCCATTGAGAAGCAAAAGCTTCCAAAATGCTTAGCCCATGAATCTCCCTTAGCTAACCAACAAATAAATAGATACAATTCTACAATGAAAAGAACTTGATAAGGCAATGTCTCAAATTAAGATAAATAGAGAGATAAAAGTGGAGAAAAAGGAGATAAAAGTGGAGAAAAAGGATTCATGTAGCCGACCCCACGTAGTGGGATAAAGGCTTGATGTTGTTGTTGTTGTTGTTGTAGAGAGATAAAAGTGGAATAAAACTTAAGCCATTTCGAATTAACTTTCAACAATACCTCAATAGCACACACAACATTGGAATGCCCTTTGGCTCTGGCCAAATCAAGAGGGATTTGGCAATCATCATTCATCACTAAAAAATTTGCTGAAACATTAAAGAAAATCTTCATTTCATTATACATCGAATTATGAAGGTTTTCCATGCAAATCGCTTAAAAAGATATACCTCCATGAGAAAGAAGTAGAATAATAGTACCATCAAGGCCTTTTTTTGCAGCATGATGCAAAGGAGTTCCTGCATGATTGCCTACGGTAAAGAAGTATGAGATCTTCATATTAGCTACAGTTTGGATAATAATACACAACTGCTAAATTTCTAAAAACTATAAGAAGAATAGAATATATTAAGAGAAGCACAATACAAATATTTTCTTTGACACAAATTGAGGAGAAAAAGCTTCCAAAATGCTTGGCCCATGAATCTCCCTTAGCCAACCAACAAATAAACATATACGATTCTACAATGAAATGAACTTGATAAGTCAATGTCTCAAATTAAGATAAACAGAGGGATAAAAGAGGAATAAAACTTAAGCCATTTCAAATTAACTTTCAACAATACCTGAATAGCACGGACAACATTGGAATTCCCTTTGGCTCTGGCCAAATCAAGAGGGGTTTGGCAATCATCATTCATCACTAAAGGAATTGCTGAAACATAAAAAAAATCTACATTTCATTATACATCGAATTATAAAGGTTTTCCATGCAAATCATTTAGAAAGATATACCTCCATGAGAAACAAGTAGAATAACAGTACCATCAAGGCCTCTTTTTGCAGCATGATGCAAAGGAGTTCCTGCAAGACTGCCTACAATTACATAAAGAAGTATGAAATCTTCATATTAGCTACAACTTTTACTTTCACTCAGCGAGCCTACTCCTAGGGCACATAGCTTTCATAGGTATGACTTTTAAGGCGATCCTCTTCTCCTATAAATGAAGTTGCTATGACAACAAGCTATTCATTAAAAGCTTGACTGTTTTCAAGGAGTATCTGTAATATACTGCTAATTTTAAATAAATATTCAGAAATGTTTAGTATGAATGTCGTCAACTTTCAAGAGAGATATTATTGCTAAGGCTTTTATTTGGGAGGACTCTCTTACTACTTCTTAAAGCAGCTTTCTACTACAAATATTTTAACTTTTGTATTAGAAAGCGGCTTAAAGTAGAAGTAAGAAAGCCGTCCCAAACAAAGCCTAAATTGTGTAGCCTAATTAATGCCTCGCGAAGAAATTTCTTACGCAAATTAAGGCTTCATTTGTGATGGTTTTCTTGTTGCTTCTTAAAGCAGTTTTCTATTAAAAAATTTAATTTTTGTACTAAAAAGTTATTTTAATCAGTATGAAAGCCGTCCCAAATGAAGCCTAAGTATTTTAAGAGTTGTTTTATTACCTTTTTTTTTATAAAGGCAGACATGATCATCTTTGGATGATATTTGAGAGATCAGGACTTTAAAATACTACACAAGGACCACAACACAAGCGAAAACATAGTGAAACCTAGAGCGGAGAAGCAGGACAGGAATCAACTAGAATACTATATATAAAATTCTTAACATGTTTTGTGTGGTTATTTTAATTTATTTTTTAACTTCATTGATTTGAATTTGATCTTACTTAATTCCCAACAAATGCAAAATAAAGTTACAAAAAAATTCTGCATATAAAGCATAAGACAATAAGAAATACTAGTTTAGAACTGTACCTAGTTGAGCTTGAAGGAAGCACAAGCTCGCCCGCTCTTCCAAGACTTGACAAAGACTTTTAGGTGATAAAACTGAAGTATCTAAGATGGAAAAAAAACAAAAAATGAATAAAGAAGATTAAAACTACAACAGGATTCTAAATTAAAGTGTCAACAACTAAGTTATTTCCAAAATTGATTTTGCACTGAACTGTAGGCAACTAAGCATATTGGTCTCCACCGAATTTGTGTCAACACTAAATTGTTCAATTTGACTCAATCCTTCTGAAAAAGATAAATAATTTAACAACCATAAGAATTATTTCAAATAATTTAAGAACAGTAAACAAAACTCATAAGTTTATCATCATAAGCAGTGAAGCTCTTGTTTGAATTTTTTTGGTAAATGATAAGTAATAAATCTCAAAATATTTTACTTGAATTTGTGATCAAAAGAAACAACATTTTCCTTCAACCACCAGGCCACAAATTCTTTCACAAATCCAAGCATTTCATGGAAGAACTAGCAAACAAAAAAGAAAACTTGCAAAATTGGAGTTACGAGATGGTACGTGCTATTATTTTGGCTTTTCTATGATCCTCCTCAAGCTTGCTAACATTCTCACTCAAAGCAACATAAGCAGATGCACAAAGTACTGCAAGTTGCCTCATGCATCCACCTAAGGCTTTCCTAAGCCCTTCTAGCCTAAAATACAGTAAAAAGTAGGGTGAAAAGCAATGCTTACGGATAGTTCGTAGTGTTTCATGCTAGGTTTACACCTTTACCTTTGCAATAAAGTTTTTTGAACCTACAAGAACAGATCCAGTAGGAGCTCCCAAACCTTTTGACAAGCACACCTGAATCAAATTACAATTACAGAAAAATGAATGAAAAGCTTTGGTATTAGTTTAGGTCAAGTTTACACCATTAAACAAATAAAAAACTAAATATGATGTGAACTTAAGAACATGAAGGAACAGAAGTACCAAAATAGAATAAACAGCCTGTACAAGCCTGTGAATGGGAACTCTCAGAGCCTGCCATATCAAACTAAAACAATGAGAAAATAAATCTAGCTATCAAGCACATTACTTGGAATACAAAATATATACGTGTGATTCTAAACTGCAACGTGCTATACTATTCCACCCAACTGAATACATGATGAAAATATAAATAACGAGATGAGAACATCATTTTGTTTGAAAGAATGGAGAAAATTACATAGGATGAGGTCTTGACAATTTTTTGGAAAATTTTTATTTACTTATTTTTTAAAAAGCTATTCTTGATCATAATATCTTTATAAGTGACTTAAGTGAAAGAAAAAAAAATGTCTTAAAGAATCTCAACGACATTCCTAAAATTTGCATATGGATTCTTTATATAATCCACAATATAGAAAGGCATGATGAATGTATCAGATTTTATGCTGATAAGCCTACATCAAAAAAAAAAAAGAACAAAAGAAATAAAATTATCACAACCTCTGAAAGTTAAACAAAGAAAAACTAATTAATGAAACTTCAATTGATTTGCTCCTAAGATGAGCAAATGAGAGAACAATCAGAGCCTAACATAGCTGACGTTTGGAAAATAAGTACCATAAGGAATTGTATAAGCAATAAAGCCACATAATTTATGATAGGTAAGAGCAGTCTAAAGAGAATAATAACGGCAAAAGAAGGTCCTTAAAATATGCAATTGTTCTTAGTTGTTGCGGCTGCAGCAAAACTGAAAAGAAATAAGTTCGGTGAAAGATTCTGCCTTGAACTGAATAAGATTTAAAAAAAAGTAAGCCTACCGCATTGACAGAGTTCATATGCACATTTCTAAAGGTTATATTCTACCGTATGAGAAAAAAAAAAGTTAAAACATATGAATTCAAATGGAAAATTGAAATGCTTTTTCGAAGAAATACTATTTCAACTTGTATTCCTCTGTCAAAATCGGGCTGAACCGAAGAATCCATCGCAGCCCGCCTCTTCGTGAATGGTGAACGAGGAATTTGGGTATTCTTTCCTTTCCTTTATATAGTAAAAACCCTAACAAGCCTCCAACGCCAAATCGGAGCACGTGGTCGACCGCCATCCACCAGTTGCTCTCCACCCATACGCCTCTCGTCTAAAAAAGCTCCCAAGTTCAGCCATTGGCAAGCGAGGAAGACGACGAATTAACACAACTTTCCTCATTTTTTTAGAACTTAAAATTTGATGCAGTACCAATACTGATCCGATGCGATGCGACAGCAAGAAGCAATTTTTCTCATCGGATCCAAGATTGATGTCAGAAGCCGGCGACATTTGCTAACCTAATCCAAGATGGGCTTATGCTCTTCTCCAGCTCATGCTGAGTGCGCCTTAGCTTCAGAGGATCCTTATCCATTGCACATCAAATTTCTTATAGAAACTCAAAAAAAAAATTTCATTCCATTTTTTTTTTCTAATTTTTTTATACAAATTAATATCAAATATTTAAAGACTAAAATTAAGAAAAAATAAACTATGATGTTTTTACTATGAATTCTTTAGAGGAGTATTTTATTTCTTTCATTGGAGAATTTAGGAAAAAAATTAAATTTTGTATAAATTATTTTCAAGAGGAATTTTAATTTTTAAGTGATTATCATAATCAAATAAAATCTTATTAACATTGTTGTGAAGGTAAAAATTCAATTCTTAAATAATGATTAATTAAAAGAAAATATAATTAATATAAGTTATTTTTCATTTCTCTGCTTTATAAAGAAAAAAAAATTGTCTCAAATAAAACTAGAAGATTGCAGGTGAAGTTACATTTGAGATAGTTGCACTATTTAAAAATAATTATAATTTATTATTAAAAGAATTATTATGACAAACAATAGAGTAATCAATTAACGATCGAATCATCAAGTCAAACAACATAGAGACTCACAACCTTATCGATCTTGGCATGACAATTGACAGTCCCCTTCCTTCTCTTTAGTCTCTTTCAAGCAAAACATGCATCCAGCCATGTGATCGCATGGAATGCAAAAACCTTCCACTAGCTTATCCAAGCAAATCACATGTGGAAGATGAAACATTGTTTCCACCATCATCATTTGTTTCACTACTGTTTATAACTCTTTTCAAATCTTAACAATTCTCATTGTATGTTGATACTCTTCAAAATCCCAAAGGCTATTGTGTAAATCCTGCAAATCATTAGAATCATTGTTTTAATATGTAATACACACTTAACATATACAAGAACTATCAATGTTAAAGTTCTTACATTTCATATCAAGCATGCCATATGCACCCTCCCACCCCACCCCCTCTCCCACCCCACCACCACCACCACCCCTCCTCCACTACCACCACCACCACCAGCCCCTCCACCACCCACCCACACCCTCCACCACACCACCACCAACCCTCCACCACCGCTCCACCCACCACCACCACCACTATCAAACACCAACATTACTTACTACATAAGTCCTAACCTACCCCCCTAAACCTACACCCACCTCTACTTCTATCCCCCCTACACCTACCCTCACTACAGGAAAACAACACATTACCGGCGAAAATTCCGACGGAAGTAAATTCATCACAAATTCCGACGAATTTTCCGAAGAATCTCCGACGGAAAATATCCGACGAATTTTTGACTGAATTTCCGACAGAATTTAAGGTGGATTTTTTACGTAAATTAAAAAATAAGTTATATTTAAATAATGTATATTCAATTAAATTATAAAATAAATATTTTTATATTTTAAAAAATACTTAAATTATTTAAAATAATAGCTAATTTATTAACTTATATTATATTAAAAAATAAAAATAAAATAATTATTTAATTGACAAAAAATTAAATTATTAAATTAAAACTTAAATTATAAATATTTTTTATAATTATTTATTTTGTTAATTAAAGCTAAATAATTTAATAATTATTGTAAAATTTATTTATTTAAACTAAATTAACTAATTTAATAATACATTATTAAATTAAATTATTTATTTTTATCTTTAAAAAATATGTTTACTTTTAAAATTTTTTTTACTTATAAAATTATAATTCTGACGGATTTAAGCCATTTTTCCGACGGAAATGGTCGCCGGAAATTATCATTTTTCCTGAAGTGCCTACTACCTACCCTCACCTCTACTCCTACCCCTACTACTATACTGACCTCTAACCCTACCCCTCTAACACCGACCTCTTCTTCTAGGACCTACATCAACCTCTACCTCCACCCCTTACACTTTGCTAAAACCTAAACTTCATCCCTAACCTAACCTTCTTATACTTACACTTACCGTAACCCCTAGATCTCTACCCTTATTCCTACTCCAACCTCTACACACCACTACCTACATATACCTCTACACCTACTTAGGGGTGTCAAAAGAGGGCAAGGGTAAGGGCGATTGTGAGGGAGAGGCTGAGCGCGAGCATGAAACGACGAGGGCGAGAGAGGGCGGCGGTAAGTGTTTTTATGCAAGCATGAGAGGGCGATTGTGAGATAGAGCTGGAGTATGCGAGGTAGCTAGGGCGAGTGCAACTATGTGGGCGAGGCATTGAGGGGTGAGGGCGACTATACGAGCACGTGCGGGCAAGGATAAGGCCTCATGGGTGAGAGTGAGGGAAAGGCCTCGAGGGCTAGCACTAGGACATAAGTATGGGCAAGGGAGAGGGTGAAGGTGAGGGCAAGGTCTTGAGGGCAAGCAAGGGAAAGGTTGCGCGGGCAGGCGAGGGTGAGGTCGTGAGGGCGATTATGAGAGCTAGTGCGGGGAAGGATGCGGCTGCCAACACGTCGGGTTTTTGAGTCGTGTCATATATTGACACCCCTATTCCTATACTCCTACACCCCACCTAATCTTCCTCAACATCTTCACTTCTTCTCCTCTCTATCTCCTCACTCTCTGATGAAATGGATTTGTGTGGAGTGATTCAAGGTGATGAAGACAAATGGAGCAATACTTTAGCTTCTTTCCTACTATTTGGGGACAGCCCAAATTGCTCGGTCAAATGATATAACATTTATTTACCTTCTAACAATACTAATTTAATAAAAATGCAATAATTTATCATATATTTGACATCTATTACGAGCATGCAAGTTGGAGGCCAACGTATCACACTTGCAAGCAAAGAATAAGTCTAAATTATGGCTTATTCCTAGGAATATTATTTTCCAAATTCAAATTAATAAGTTCTTAATAAATTTGAGCATTTCCACTAAACAAATTAAAACATTTAAAAATTTTAATTTGATAAAAAAGTAGAATTAATTAATTGCTGAAGTTATCGTGATGCAATACCTTCTTTAATTAAAATCAAATTTGTATAAGTTTTTAATTGAATATTCAAATCATGGAATGATTTCTATTTAATTATTTATGTAATTTATCACCTACATGTTAAAAATTGCTGAAACAAGAAACATTTATGTTTAATAAATTTGAATTAAATGATTTGAATAATAAATTTATTAATTATTTTCATGAAGCTTTATAAAAAAAGATTTTGTACTTGTCACTTATTTAAAATTAAAAAATAAATATTAGATGCTCTTACTAATCAATTTGTAGAAGTTATATAAATAAGATGGATAAGGAGATTATTGAAGAAAACAATACCTTTAGTTGAACATCAACAAATAATTTGAAGAAGCAAGGATATTCATACAACAAGAAATATAAGAAAGAGAACAGTAAGAGAAAAATGAGTAAGTAAAAGATAAAGGTTTATACGTTTGGGGAGAAATTATTACATGTGATAACCGAACACCGTACGTCCAGAGGTGAATTAGGACTCGTCTCATCACCATTTTTATGTGTACCGGGTGACGGACGGTCCGGTAACCGCACATAATAATTTTTTTCATTTGGGATAGTTTTCTTGCTACTTTCTAGAGACCAAGCTAAATCCATTTGTGATTCTAGTGATAGAAGATAAAGAGACAAAATAAAGAAGAACACATTGCTCCACCTATCAACCCCATTTTGATTTATGAAGAACTTTCCAGTGCTTTTGATGAATTAGTATTAGCTTTGCAAAAGTTGAAAGATAAGCATTATTCAAATCAAAAGAAGTATAGAAGTTTGAAGAGAGTGAATTTCTCAAGCATAACATGGTAGATTTAAATGAAAATTAATTTCTTGTTCATTTCTTGAATTAGAGAATAAAAATATTATGAAGGGGATTAATGCCAAATTTTCT